TAAGTAAATGATAAAAATTTCAAAATGATTGCACTGCTTTAAAGCCCTTTGACCTTTAATATGTGTGGATGCACCCTGATGTGCTACGCATTCTCCAACGCGCCTAGGCATTCTTCGATCAGGTGGTTAATGCCCTCCTGTGGTATCTCATTCCAGGCAACCACCAACTCCTACCCATCATATCCCACACGTGCTCATTGGGGATAAGTCGGGAGATCTTGGTGGCCATGGTAACAATGTGACATCATTATGTTGAAAGAAGTCTATTGTGACTCTTGCAACAGTGGTCGGGCATTATATTGTTGGAAAGTTGGATCTGCCAGGGTGTCAAGATAGGGTAAAAGATGGGGTTCTAGAACTCGTGGATTAAACGCTGCGCGTTCATGTTACCTCTGATGAAGATTAAAGGTGACCTGGAACCATAAGCTATAGCACCCCAAACCATAACTCCAACATTGTGATGAACATGTCTTTCAACAAAAAACTGTGGATTCCTCCTTTCACCACGTCGCCTTCTAACCCTGGCACGACCATCGTGCATGCCTAAAACAAATCGAGACTCGTCACTAAAGACAATTACTGTTCCATTCCTGATCCCAGAGTGACCGTTGTCTGCACCCAACTCAAGGCGATTACGTCGGTGTTCTCCGAGTTAAAGGGAGGACCCAGTGTGGCCGTATGAAAACAAGCCAAAACTTCTCATTCGTCGGTAAACACTTCGCTGCCAATAGGTCTTCCATGTTCTGCAAACCATTCACTTGCAATGGACCTGGTAGTGGAGAAACGGTCCCTTAAGGCCAATAATCTTAGGCGGGCGATCTTCACGGTCTGTTGTTCTACGGCGGCGTCCAGTGCCCCTTGCTCTTTGCGTACGGCCTTCTCGAAGCCATGCCTGACAACACCTAACCACAGTGTCTACACTTCTTTGCACTCTAACTGCAATTGCCCGAAAAGAAAGTCCAGCTTCCCGAAGTCCCACTATACGGCCCCTATCAAAACTCACTAAGTTGACGAAATCGTACAGGTCTCCGTACTCTAGGCATCGTAACCGATCGTAAAGGATGTCAAGAACCAAAATCCGCCAACGTTGATTCTTTACTGCGGCTGAAATATTCATTTTTAGAGCGTTAGTGAAGTAAAAAAAAAGCAGTATAAAAACCGGAATGTCCAACTGATAAGGCTGAAAATTTTTTCAGTTGTTATTTACAGTAAGATAAATACATTCACCAACTTTTATTAAAATAAAACCATTTAAACTGGGTGTTCGGATTTATATGTCACTTAGTATATATTAAATTTTAACCACATATGCACTGTTACGAAAGAAGTTGATCTCTCAAAAAAAAATGTAATAAAAGTCCTACAGAAATCGAGATAATAAAATAAAAAATCTTGTATTAGTTTATTATCTCGATTTCTGTAGGACCATTATAACACTTTTTTTTAGAAATCAACTTCTTTCGTAGCAATGCATATGTGGTTAAAAATTTGTCGGATAAGTTATGAAACGCTCTGTATATTTATAGTACAATGATTTAAGTTACACAGTCTGTGTGCCATATAGTGAAAAAAAAAAACAAAGAAGAGAAAGGCGTTTTAGTAGAGAGAAAAGACACTATGAATATGATTAATAGATAATAGCCAAAAAGAATACATTTACAGCTATATCATGTAATGTCCACACATAAATATACTATATAACCAACGACAACATCGTGAGTGTATCATCTTGGAGGACAGACAGCATCACTCCTACATCATAGATATTTTCTTTTGCGCTTCATATTATTTATGTGGGCTGCAAATAATTGCACCGTATTCAAAATTTACTTATAACAAGCTCTGAATCTCTGGATCGTTTCTGGAGCATCTCTACCAAGAGTCCAACAGTAGTCTGCAAGCATGGAAGGATTCCACTTTCCCTGGTACCTTTTTTCCATTGTTGAAATATCCTGATGAAAACGTTCGCCGTGCTCATCACTTACGGCTCCGCAATTGTCAGGAAAAAAGTCCAGGTGTGAGTGTATGAAATGTATCTTAAGAGACATATTACAGCCCATCTTTTGATACGATGACAGCATATTTTTGACAAGGGTTTTATAGTTGTCAGCTTTTCTATTTCCCAAGAAATTAGTGACCACCAGACGGAAATCATTCCATGTAGGTTTTTCAATACCTGTTAAAATGTTTTCAAACTGTGTATCTTTCAAAATATTTCGAATCTGTGGCCCAACAAAATACCTTCTTTAACCTTTGCCTCACTTAGTCTTGGAAATTTCTGACGCATGTATTGAAAAGCTGATACATCTCTATCTAATGCCTTGACAAAGTTTTTCATTAGGCCCAACTTGATATGCAGTGGTGGTAATAAAATTTTTTTCGAATCTACTGATGGCATTATGCTGTACATTTTTTTGACCTGGCTCTAGGAACTGACGAACAGGCCAGCTTTGTCTGGTGTAATGAAGTGCCTTTCCCGACTGTCCCATTCACACAAAAAACAGCAAAACTGTGTAGCCTAGCTGCAGCCCAAGTAAAAGTGCAACAACTTTCAAATCGCCACAAATATGCCATTGGTGCTCATCGTATTTAAGCATGTCAATAGGTACTTCATATTGTCATATGATTCTTTCATGTGAACTGCATACCTACAGGAAGAGATGGTAAAATATTTCCAATATGCAATAACACTGCCTTTAAACTCAATGTTGAAATTTCTATAAACAATCTCCATTCTTCTGGGTTATAGGTTATATTTAAAGCCGCCAGTAAGCCGTTAATGTTACTGCAGAAAACCAAGTTATTCCCATATTGAAAAATGGTTCTAAGTCTTTGTGGCGTTTACGAAAAACACATACCGAAACATCGTCTTCTAACAAGTTCCACTGCTGCAGTCTTGATCCAAGTAACTCTGCCTTACATTTTGGAAGTTCTAATCTCTTACAAGATCATTTAATTCTGACTGTGTTATTTTGTGCGGTTGGTGGCATGACGTGCTCGGTATAAAATCAGGATCTCTTGACGTTGATGGCATATCTTCTTCCTAACGAATCACTCGATCGCCATGATCTGATTCGTTTTCTGATTCGCAAGAGTACGATTCTGGGGGTTTTGGAATAGGATTTTCGTCACTGTGAGGCACAGGTCTCATCGCAGATGGTATGTTTGGGTAGTTAATAACCGATTTTTTTTTTCTTGGACATACCTGTGGCTTGTCCAACACAAGATACCATGCAAAAGTAACAATCATTAATATGATTTGTAGGCTCTCTCCAAACCATTGGAACAGCAAAGCGCATACACCGTTTTTTGCCATTTAACCAGCTCCTCAGACTTGAAGCACATGTATTACAGCAGATGTGGGGTGCCCACTGTTTGTCTTGATCACCCAGTTTACAACCGAAATAAAGCTGATATGCCTTTCTTATTAGTGGAGTAATAGACCGTCTCTGAGACGCAAAAGTCACATCACCACGCACGTAACAAAACTGATCTGGATTGTTTACACACTTTCGAGACATCTTGCATGAACGCTGTCAGCCAACTGAGGAAAAAATGGCTAATATAAAACAATATA